TGTGTGGCTGTCCCCCCAGATCCGGGTTTGAGAGAGAGAGTGACGCATCAATTGATCCTCTAAGTACCATTACAGCAACCCCACCTCCCTCTCTCCCCCTTCATTATTGCACCCACACCCCTCCTCGCATCCTCGTTGTCACTCCTCCTCTTTTGTCTACTGCCATGTAGTTGCTTTCCTTCTCCTCCTCTCGTGACAAATCCAAAAGCAGAACTCCGCCAAATTTTAGATGTTTAGATGCCAAATTTTATGTTAATGTTCCATTTGGGGTTGACTGAAAAACCAAATATCACTCTCTTCTTTCTACCATAGGCCTTTGTTGCGAACTCACGAGCTGGGTTCGCTTGGAGGTAAAAGAAAAAAAAAAGGCCGAAGGAAGGAAAGGATGGGGAAGAAGATGGGGGTAAATCGATAATTAAAGATAAAAAATTTAACCATGTCATGAATTTTTGCCAGATGAATTTTCCAGATAATTTAGTAAAAAAAAAAAGTTTTCCTATTAATTAACGTGTCATATCAGCAAAATTTAATAGAGGGACTAAAAATGGGTCGGATTTTAAAATTTAGGGACCAAAAAAGGAATTTTTTCGGTATAGGGACTAAAAAAGAGCTTTTCCTATAGTAGAGGGACCAAAAAGGAAATTTAACCTTATAACTATTAACTTGTACTTTTCCTACCAAGTCCGTAACTGCACAATTATAATTTTTCTGGTCCTCCTATAGCCCTACCACCCATATAAAGGAACACACATCTGCATAGTAAGGCATTCACTCAAAAAGAGCATAGAGATAGCATTTGCATCAATAAAAAAATCAGTCATGGCTCTTAGCAATCTTTCTTGTGTTTCTCAGTTTTACCCCAACATATGCATTTTCCCAAAAATCACTCACCAAAGACCAGCCCTTACCTCTTTCAAAACCAACCATGTCTGCTGTTCATTGAGCTCTAATATTTCTCCTCCTGTCGTTGAAAGAAGATCAGCTAATTACCAGCCATCCATTTGGAGCTATGAGTATCTGCAGTCCTTAAAAATTGATCATGTGGTAATGATTAATTAAAACGCTGAAAATTCCTTTTTTCTTCTCTTTTTTTCTATATCTTATACATGCTCAAGCATGAGTATGTTGTCTTAATTTTGTAGGATTCCAATTACAACAACAGGGCAGAGAGACTGGAGCAGGAGATAAGGTGTGTTATAAATGATGCAGATAATGAAGGGTCATTGAGCTTGCTCCAAATGATTGATGACATCCAACGGTTAGGATTGGGGCATCGTTTTGAAATGGATATAAAGAGCGCCCTTTATAGATTTGTCTCTTTGGAGGAATGTAATGTTGCACAATGGAAAAGTCTTCATGCTACAGCTCTCAGATTCCGGCTCCTTAGACAACATGGCTATGAAATCTCTCAAGGTAAGAAATAAGTAAGCACAAAGTTTGCCAAATTATAGTAAATCATGAATTGGAAATTCGTTCAAAACTGTATTAACCGAGTTGTGGGAAGCATGTAATACAGATGTGTTTAAATGCCTCAAAGACAATGAAGGTAGTTTCATGGACTGCCTTTCCATGGATGTTGAAGGAATGGTGAGTTTATATGAAGCTTCGTTCTTCTCCTTCAAAGGAGAAGATCTCATGGATGAAGCTCTTGAATTTACAAGAAAGCATCTAATGAATCTACACGATAGCGACGCATGTTTAAGAGAAGAGGTGAGCAAGGCATTAGAGCTGCCGTTGCATCGTAGAATACTGAGGCAAGAAGCTCGAGAATATATAGAAACATACGGTAGAAAGACAGATGCTATTCCTAAACTACTTGAACTGGCAAAACTCGACTTCAATATAGTCCTGGCAACACTCCGAAGTGATCTTCAAGACATGTTAAGGTAAGGACATCGTTCTTTTTTTTTTTTTTTTGATTGGGTATTAGAAATTGTTTAAGTCATGTTTGTGTTGCTTTTTTAGGTGGTGGAAGGATATAGAGCTGGCTAGTAAGTTGGATTTTGCAAGGGATAGGCTCATGGAATGCTTCTTTTGGAGTGTTGGGATGGTCCCCCTACCACAATTTAGTAACTGTCGAAAAGGGCTAACAAAAGTGACAACACTGATAACCACCATTGATGATGTATATGATGTTTATGGCACTTTGGATGAATTAGAGCTATTCACAAATGCCGTTCATCGGTTTGTAATTTGTTAAT